AACATTATTATTATACATCTTTTCCCTCCAAAGACACCTGCATCACGGGAATGCCGAAATCCAAAAAAATTAGAACAGAATCAGCGAACTTCTTTGTGTGGAGTCCGGTCAAACCCTGGTGGCAGCCATGTTTGTTTTTATTATTAGAGGACGCGTACGCGCGTAATTATTCCATATTTGAAATTCGCATTTCCTTATATGGTAGAATGAAAATACCCCGTAAAATACTGCAAAATTACGGCACGCTGTATAATAATGAGTAATACTGTGCGGTGCTTCAACTGTGGTTCTTCAGTGTTTCATCGACATCCCCTGAGTGGTATACATCGATTAGTGAACGTGTAACATAATCTCTTAACAACTAATACTGAAATGCTTAATGACCAAATACTTAGTAATACAAAATGGTTGTATTCCTTTCTTTTAAGTAGCGCCATCCAGCGACGAAGAGCTTCAATTGTGTCAAAATGACGTACATGGGTTTTTGTCGTCTTTCGCAATTTAGATTCTAATAAATCTCTTGTTTATTGAGTTATCAGGTGCGAATCCGGGAAAGAGTGGTCAGTGGGTTAGCTAGGATCCCCTAAATTATGAAGATGTGATTTTATGTCATCCCTTTGGACGACTATAGATAATGTAGGCAGTGAACGATTAACGTCACAAAAGCCAGTCCCCGTTAGAGGGCGCAATTTTATATGGATGGTGTATTGATCACCGTTGCTTGAAGAAACATTTATAACAGTTCCTCCAAAGCCGCCGTGCTGGGTTCCCATAAACTCCAAGCCAAGATATGTGCCTTCGATGACAGCAAACTGAAATGAAATAAACGATATTGTTTCAGTTGCACCGCCATGCAATCTGGGAGAGTGTAAACTGTATGACGTCTTTCATCAACAATCCGCATGTGACAACTTCTTAGTTATTTTTCAAGAATGATAATAATGATATCTCGTGTCGTGTATCGTATACAAAGCATCTTTGTTTACCATGCCCTCTTACACCGTTGTTTATTTTATCTCAGGCGAAATATACTGTGGATCACGAGCATGAACCAAAGGTTTAGTTTAAATCTATATAGTTTCCATAATTATATAAAAACTAGTAACAAATAAAATATTATAAATAATTTACAGAACGACACAAGTGCAATACGACGTGATGGCAATATCGAGTACGTACCAGATTAACGTGCATCATCGTTTGCCATTCTAGCTCATTAACAATTCCGGCGTTATTACATACAATATCAATTCGATCATAGCACTCCTTAGTTTTCTTGAAAGCATCTAAAACCCAAATATGAAAAACAAATTTGATATTCTACGTGAAACAAACACATTACCGAAAATACTGAGTGAAAATATAGTGTGACAAACTCACCTCGCAGCGACGTCTTCGATGTGACGTCACAATGTATGAACAGCGTCCTTCCATGACCAAATTGTGTTTTAAAATATTGAGTCGTCTCTTCTCCGAGATCTTTATTGACATCTATTATGCAGACACCCTGATTAAACCAGACAGATATGTTAACTTGTAATGCCTCATGAGGTCATGACCCTGACAGGCAATCAATTCGCGCATTATAGATAAACAATTTCTAATGTTCTACCTTCATGTAGAATCTTCATACAGGATTTACGTCAATAGCTCGTCAATATATGTAATGACATCTTTCTCGCATATGATTTCGCTTGTCTACTACGTAACTGGACAGACAAGGTCTAGCTCGTCTGATTTGATCCTGCATCGTAGAATTCTGTTTTTGAAGTTAAAATCTAAATCAAATTTACATGGCGGAAAAGAGTTCTTTGGAAATAAACCTAAAACAAGCCGTAACTATTTGACAGCAGCGCAGTTCAGTATTTTGACTATTTTACGGAAACGCCGGGGAGGGATAATATAAAGCTTTTTTTCAAGGTAAATCTGTTAAAACCAGGGGATTGCATCAATATGATGTTATTAATGATGTCATACGCCACGAGTAGAAGGGAATAGTCTTCTATTTCATGAATGAATTATAATGGCACAAGTAGAAGTGACCAATCTAATAGTACTGCAGCTTTGTCATACACCATGAACAGAGGGTACCAGTCTACTATTGTAGCTACGGTATCATGGGACATGAGTAGAAGATGCAGTCTACTGTGGTAGCTTTGACTTCACAGGTCACGAAGAGAAGGTATCACTCTATTATTATGGTTATGGTGCCATATGTTACGAGTATACGGTACTAGTCTATTGTTGTAGACTATATTGTCATAGAGGGTGTCATCATCCCTTACTTTATGTTTTTGTTATAACTGTCATAAAGTTGATTGACAGGTCATACTTGTTTTCAACTCTGGAAGACAGTGGGTTCTACCAGGGGTGGTTGTAATTTACATAACAAAGGGTGTTTACAACTTTGGAAGGAGAATTGGAATCTACCAGGTGTGTTGTTATTTGAATAACAAAGGATGTTTATGATCTACTGAGTTGCCTATGTGACACAGCTGCTAGCAAGACCACATTATGATTGGCTCATGTGGAAACCCAGGTGGTGTCACTGCCTATAAATTGGACAGACTAAAGACAGTTTGGGTCGATAATTTCAACTTGCTTTACTGTGTGTTCTGTTACGATACGATATTACAGGCTACAACCATCATTCTGTGAGACTTGTATGAACTGCTCTGCGATCTCCTGCTTTCAGTGGTGCCCTCCAGAATACCAGCATTCCTCTGCAAGCAAGACTCCTGTATTTCTCCGTTGTTGTGTCGCAGAAGCCATTGACTGTCGTCCATTAATACATCCTGGAACTGCGAGTTATCACCAATGCACACTTCCCTAAGCAATA